ATGTGTCTCTGATGTAGAAACAAAGACACTGGCCCTCAGACAAATGAAATTTGTCTAGAATCACATACATTGTAAGTGGAAGAGTCCCTTCCAACACAGGTCTCTCAAAGTCCAAAGTCTGTGGTCTTTGCATAAGGGCTCATTTGAGGAAACATGATTCTCTGCACACACAAATTTAGCTTACCCCAGATTGTCACACAACACCCTCTTTCCTAATGTGTACACACCCACTATCTTCCCCCTTTAATTGCTTTGCTTGGGATATTCCCAAGTCTGATTAGTGCCTTTAATTACCAACATTGGATCTAGTGAAGAACTTCTCCAAGAACTGAAGACAAATCCATGTATCCTGGGAAAAAAAATGCATCTAATATTAATACCAAAGCTATTAAGCACCTTTCATTTACAAAAGCTCTGGTTGAGAAGATTGAGCTGAAATTCATGGGGATCACCCTGGAAGATTAATGACTAACAAAAACATTCTTTAAATTATTTGAAAATTTCATCAGTATATTATGCATGTATGTGTACATATATTTTACATATATGTAGATGTGTGTATAACATGCATATATGTATGTGTGCATATATAAAACTTCCATAGAAATTTTATGTTTTTATAGATATAAATGTTTATATGACATATATTCCATATAAATCTATCCTTAATATTTTAGGGTTACAAAACTATAAAATATGCCCTTCTTAAAAGTTTTCCCAATTTTTGATGTAGATTTTATATGTTTCTGTATGAGTAATTTTTCTTTTAATGTGATTTTGTGCTGAAAGCAATTTTTTAACATTTATGAAAGCTACTGAGAAACAAATTCCTTGATAAACAAACATTGTTCCTTCCATTCTCTCTCTATGCAATAACTATGAACTCTGATAAAACAAAAGAAAGATTAAGAAATGTTTAAAAAACTGACAAGACTCAATTTCCTATAAGAAAATCTGGCCCAACCTTCAGCTTCACATTATTTCAAGCAGCTGATAGCAAGAATTTTTGCTGACCACAGAAGATAATAAAAGAAGGAGAAAATCTTTTAAGAAAGAAAAGAAGGAAGAAAATGAGGGAGGGAGAAGATTGGAGGGTAGGGGAAAACAGCCTCTAAAAATAATATTTAACTAGGGCCAGGAATATAGTTCAGTGGCA